ACTTTTTAACAAAAATCTTAAAAAATTACTATTCATAGGTCATTTTGCAAAATCCCCCCACTCGATAATACAAGGAAGAGTAAATATTTTTAATCTTTGAACAAATAGGGAAATAAAACAAATAGCATATGTATGACTTCTCTAGAACAAAACCCTTGTGAAGATAGCATGAGTGTCACGTTGCAAGAATGTAGAGGGTTTCTCGAGGTAAGTCCAATAGACCATTTGGTCTTTAAAACGGAGGAAATAATTTTTGGACAATTTTACATTTTTGGTCGAAAATCTCGTGTCTAGTGGAAATTCAACAAAGTGGAGATATTGCATAGACAATGTTAAAAGTTACGGCAATGATTGTAACAAACGAAAAATTAAGGATATGACTGTCACACTTGCAAAAGGTAAGAGCAAGACAATATGCACATTACTTGATGGTAACTAATATAAGTAATGCTAATTGTGCACAATTATTTATGTATTAGAATACAGAGAAAAAGAAAGAAAACAATTTGAGAGAGAGAGATAGAGAAGTAAATCAGTTAAATTTTAATATAACATCATGTTATTAATTTGTACATAAATCTATGAATAATTATGTACAAGTAACATTACTCAGCTAATATATTGTTAATCGGGTATTGGACTTTTAGAATAAATTATTCAAATATTATAGGAATCAAGTCTCCTTGTCATCTACTCATCAAAATTAAATGTGTAAATATTTGATGAAAAATGAAAGAATTCAATCTACCCATGACATATGTAAATAGATTATTCTAATTTAAATTTATAAACAAAATGGTCAAATTAAAATCAAGAATTTGGAATAATTAAAGATCTGTTTGCTTTCAAAGAGTAATGGTACCACTCTTTTGAACTACGATTTTTGACATATCTGCATAAGGACCGTTAGCTAGGTCAATATCAAGTGAGGAAGGGAATCAAACTTTATGCCAATTAAGCATTTTGTTTTACTCTCTCTTTGGAATCTTGTTATTACTTTTTTATGGTATTTTCTTCCCGGACAGAGAATATTGAGAATAAAAAGAAAAAGGAAAAATTTCATACATAGACATCCACCCAGTTTAGCCATTGAAGTGACAAAGACCTTCCTTAGTCGCTTGAATGAAAATTAAAGTACATATTACATATTGTCTTGTCTAAACTAAATCACATGAAAATATCCAATTTCGATCTCAGGGGTGTCCCCTGCATCCGCCCAACCAATCCATCAAATTGTCGAAGATAAACTTTAAATAAAAAGTTGCTCACTTTTAAATAAATGAAGTGATATCGAAATTAGCGAACATCAACTCTTATTATAACTTATTTACAAAATTTACAGTACATGTAAAAGTCTAAATTCAATATTCACGTGAGAGAACCGTTGATTACTAGTTGCACGTAATAACATAATACATGTCAGGACCACATATTATGCACTAGCTACAAATGCCTAAGCACAAATTTAGCATTTAAATACCAATATTGCTCATATTTGATTGGGATTAAAATCTAAATTTAAATTTAAATTAAATACAACAGTTAATTTTAAAAACATATTTTATGGAATCTACAACTTTTTACAAAATCAACTAAAAATCTTATCTTAATCCTCACCAAACAGGGGAATTATCTTCTTTCTTCATAAGATCGTCAATGAGAGCTCCCATTACCAATTGCTCATTGATCTCTCTTCCCATAGACACCACAAGGGCACGTTCGATGCATCTTTTAAAAAATAAAAAATTACTTTTAAACTAAAAAGTTGCTTTTAAACATGTTTAATAATTTTATAAAAGTGTTTTGTTTGATTTAAAAAAATAGAGGAAGTTGACCTAAGATATATTGGAATTTGAATAGAAAATTGGGTTTGATCAATTTTTATGATTATTTAAGTGAAAGACGTTAATCAGTGAATGAGAAATTAAGTGCTTACATACGTGAATTACTGAAAAATTGTGTAGAATGGCTAAAATGTGTGTCTTTCTATATGAAAAATTATGACTTTTGAAATTATTATTTTTCAATATGTGTCTCTTCATATAGAGAGACTTATAATTTCAATTGTGTTCTTTTGTACGATTGTATCTATTGAGATACAACTTTCCAAGAACTCTATATAGACCCACCCATATGTATAAAACTTTGTTCATTTAATTCATAAGTGTATATTATGTTGATGCATATTCATTAACTTTGAATAGAGTTGTATAATAAAGAGAGTTCAAAATACCGATAAGGTTCGTTGGTCTACGTAATTTGGAGTGCTGGACGTAATCATTGTATCTTAAGAGATGAATGCCGAAAAATCGTTGGCACCTTTGCGGCACATAATCGTCTTAAGAACAAAGAGTTCAACTTTTACCTTGAACAAACTCATATTCATGCATTTCTCATTTCTACTTTACATAATTGGTTTCGGTAAGTTAAAGTTATGTTCGTTTTATGTACGTAAAATGTACGTTATTGGAATATAATAAATGCACGTTAACCTTTCCCAACGATCTTAAGACGATTATTTTGTGCATTTAATATTCTAATTTTTTAGAAACTGATTTTTATATTTCACGTGCATTCTGAATATGTTGATAAAGATTGTAAAGTGATAAAGAACTGAATTTTCTTCTTATTCCATTCTGTAACGTACAGTCCCATATTTATACAAGTCAGTAAGCACAACAGTTGGGCTCTATGGAAAGAAAATAAGCAGCCTGATTGCGTGCAACTTTCCTATACAAATAATATATCTAAGGAAGGTAAATATATAGTTTATTCTTTGACTAAGGAAGGTAAATATACAGCTGATTCTTTGACAGTAAGTACACAGATCTTTGATACGCCCTCTCAAGTTGGAGCATGAGGATTGTAAATGCCCAACTTGCAGATGAACCGTGTGAAGAGATCAACACCAAGTGCCTTGGTGAGGATGTCCGCAATGTGAGCTAGGAACGTGGGAGGTGGTGAT